TGAAATGATGTGTGTGCTATTTACTACTCAGCTATAAAGAATAATCAAACTGAGATATTTATTGATAAATAGATGCAGCTTGAGATCATACTCATATGTGAAATAAATCAACTCACATGTATAAATACCGGATAGTTTCCCTAGTATAAGAAATGATAATACATAAAAGTATGTGGTAATCATGATTGCCCATTATATTGCTTTGAAGCCTTATTGTCGATGTCCGCTCCCGGCCGGCAGGAAAGACACATGACAAGGTCTGGCGGTGGTCAGGCTTTTCTTTATTCTCTCCTTATACAGTCTGCCCCGAAGCCTCTACCGGTCCGCTCCCCGCGGCTCCTTTTGTGCTTCAGTCTGCCCCGAAGCCTCTACCGGTCCGCTCCCCGCTGCTCCTTTTGTGCTTCAGTCTGCCCCGAAGCCTCTACCGGTCCGCTCCCCGCGGCTCCTTCCGTGCTTCAGTCTCTCTCTCTCTCGGGGGTGGAGGCACTGGCTATATATAGGATTAATAGCTAGGCAGACTACCCTGTGAGGCGGGTACTTAGTGGGGTGATAAGAAACAGGTGCCACACAGGCGGGCTCGATGAGAGGGGTAATCTAGCCCAGGCTTTTGTACTTTCCCACAGGCCTCGCAATCACCGCGTCTGATGACTTGACAGTGCCACGGCTCCCAACATCTCCCCCTATTTTATTTTAAATGATGGCTACGCGCATCGCAGCCCGTCCTGGATAGAGTGCAGTGGCCTATGCCCCGAACTGAGGCCCACCGTAGGCCCTTAGCGTAGACCCTGGTCGGCCGTCCCAGGGTCCACCAAGGCCCTGAGGCCCTCGTCCTTTTTTCTAGGGCCAGGAATGAACCGGACGGAACCTGGTTGCACATAGGCATGCACTCATTTCTCTCCACGAATCCCCTCGGAGAGAAATTTATCTAACAATCCAGCGGCTTTCGAGCGGAACGGGGTAGGGCCTGGCTTAGGTTGAGTCGTGCTGGGGAGGCACGCTCTTACCCGTCATTGACTCACCCACCCTGCTACATGTTGTTGTCTAGGGAGGAGAATGTGGGAAGCCTGTCACTTTTAAACGCGGTCGTAGGCCATGCGAGCGAGCCATGCGTATACAAGGGTAGCACATAGGGGAGCAAGCCGTTCCAGGCCCCCAAAAAGGGATTGTCCTGCAGTTCTTTTAGGGCTCATCTTGTTGTTGGGTCTGCGGTTGGCCTCTGGTGGAACAGGCCTGATCTTCAGTCGAGGGACTTGTCGCGTCAACCTCTCTGGGACCCACATTGGCTCTCGTCCCGATTCCTGCGGAAAGACACAAACCGCGCCTCGGCTTCCTCTTTTGTATCTCTGCCCTCCTTGACGGACCCTTCTCGGGAGCTTCCTCACTGTGCCTGTTCAAACACCTCGCGTACTTCTACAAGTTCTTGAGAGCTCCCCCCGTAACTACCCTCACTCTTTAGGCACGCGTGTATCATTTCCCACAATGGACGAGCAGAGACTGAAGCTCTACCCTCCCGCTCTGCTAGGGAAAGGTCTCTGCCCAACTTTTCCCAGGAGGGCAGGTTTACATGCCCTGTAGGCAGAAACCAGGGAGCAAAGCTGTCAATCTCTGCAAGGAAATTTTCTAAAGTCTTACGCCCCACCTTGAGGTCCTTGGACTTTAGGAGTCTCCGAAGGACCAACACCAAGGCTGTGTATCTTTACTTGGCATGTTTCCCATTTTTAATATATCTTCTGTTATTTTTACTTCTATGTTTATGTTTTACACTCTTTTATTACCTTAAGTTCTGGTGTTATGTTTCATACTCACCGCGTGAAGCCCAAGAAACCCGCCACTTACGCGTGAGGTTGAGAGGAGTCTACAAACCCTGTAGGTGCGCGCCACCCAGGGCCCAGGCTTATCCTCTACTCACCTGTCCTGCAGCTGCAGCACTGTGTAGGAGAATGCAGTCCACCGCCGCGTCTCGGGGTTGATGAATCCCCGTGCGGGCCTCCAAATGTCGATGTCCGCTCCCGGCCGGCAGGAAAGACACACGACAAGGTCTGGCGGTGGTCAGGCTTTTCTTTATTCTCTCCTTATACAGTCTGCCCCGAAGCCTCTACCGGTCCGCTCCCCGCGGCTCCTTTTGTGCTTCAGTCTGCCCCGAAGCCTCTACCGGTCCGCTCCCCGCGGCTCCTTTTGTGCTTCAGTCTGCCCCGAAGCCTCTACCGGTCCGCTCTCCGCGGCTCCTTCCATGCTTCAGTCTCCCCCGAAGCCTCTACCGGTCCGCTCCCCGCGGCTCCTTTTGTGCTTCAGTCTCTCTCTCTCTCGGGGGTGGAGGCACTGGCTATATATAGGATTAATAGCTAGGCAGACTACCCTGTGAGGCGGGAACTTAGTGGGGTGATAAGAAACAGGTGCCACACAGGCGGGCTCGATGAGAGGGGTAATCTAGCCCAGGCTTTTGTACTTTCCCACAGGCCTCGCAATCACCGCGTCTGATGACTTGACAGTGCCACGGCTCCCAACACCTTATAATGTTTTTATTCATTAATTGTAATGGTTTTATTCTGGGTTGTTTGATTTTATTGTCTGTGATGGTATGAACAGCTATTTTGAAGAAAATAAGACATCATAATAGCTAGTGCTGATTTAATATCATCTTGTTTTGAAGTCCCATCAAGCTTTTGTTCTTCTGTCTCCATTGGTCTTATCATGTTGTATCTTATTGAAATTTATTATATGTGATAATACAAACAAAAACTTTTATAGACAAGGAGATAATATAGAAACCATTGTTCATTTTCTGTTAGTTGGTTCTAAATACCTGTAATGCTTTCATTCTCTTGAATAGTTTTACATTGTCTTGATATGTTTGATGCTATAGTATATGAAGTTTTACTCAAATATTTCAAGGAAAGAGACACTAAGGTAACTACTGTTATGTCGAGTTATCTTGTAGTAAAACACTATGTTGTTTAAATTATTCGGTTCTGATCTGTGCTGTTGTTGTTATGTCCTCTTTTATCTCAATCTCCTTTATTTATTCATTCATTTTTGTTTTTTTTAATTAAGGGAAAAATAAATAAAGCAGGATGTATTATAGCAACAATTTGACTTCCCATTAACTTGATTTGAAGCCCTGTATTGCTCTTACCACCTTGTTTTGACTGATTTTACTCTAATTCTGTTTTGCTTGATAGTATCAAGTTTGAGGGTATAGGCAACTACTTTGAAGGCAATAAGATTCACTATGATGCCCATTCTGGTTGGATTATTATCTTCTTTTGAAGTCCTGTAATGTCTCCAATGTTTTGGTTTTATTGATTTTGTTCTTTACTGTTTTGTTCAATTTTATTATAACTGATGATATAACCAGTTCTTTTTAAGAAAGCAAGAGGCATTATGGTAACCATTGTTGATCACCTTGTATTCTGTTTTTACATCTTGTACTATGTCCATCCTTTTGATTTGACTGACTCTTTTATTTTATCACATTTGGTTTTATTCACTTCAAAAAAAAGTAGTAAGAACTGTGGGAGTAATAAAACTCAAAATGTGTAATTGTTATTGTAAAAATGAGAGGAAAAGAAAGTGCTCTAAAGGATATAACTGCATGTATATTTAAGTGTATAAGATAGATAATCATATTACTGAGTTTTTGTTGGATCATTGAACAGAACTTTTTGCAGTCTCAAGGCTACTTTGTATGCTTTAATTTTGTAACTTGAACAACTATAACTAAGATGAAAATATATAATCTATTGACTAGTGATTTCTGTTTATTATTTGAAAATCTATATTACTTATACCCTTTTTCTGTTTTTGCATTTTTCTCATTAAATAAAATTTAAAAACCCTCGAATCAGATTTGCAAATTTAATAGCTTAATCAGTTCATAATGTGTAATTGCTTTTGCACTGTCTTTAGTACTTAGCCTTAAAAAATTACGTTACTTTTATTTTCTAAAAATTTATAACTGTTGTAATGTAGATGATGGATTAACCATATATCCATATCAGAATATTAAAAAATTCAGAATACTTACATGTGGAATCAAATTAATATCTTTAAAGGAAATAAATGTGAAATGTTTAGTTATCTATTAATATCTTCATTTACAAAATATGCTGGAAAATATTCATTTAAACTTCTTTATTATTAAAGCCCTCTAAAATCCATATTTTATTTTAATATTTAAAAAATAACTTCAAAAATGTCTTTCTGTCCAGTTATTCTATCCAGCACATCTACTGTAATTCACAAGTCCTTTAAACATAAATAATGACATAATTATTCAAAATGACATAATTAATCATCATGACAGGGCCATTACTTAGAGTATTAAAGTATTAAAGGACTATATCCAATATGTCTCAGATACAACCTTTTTTCATATGTATGACATTCTGTTCCACTGATTCATTTTCTTTGGTCCCGAATAATGTAAAATGCTGTAAATTTTAGCATCAAAGCTCTTCATGATGATCTAAGAGGAGAAAACACACGAAGAAGACACCTTGCAAGGTGAGCTGCTTGGACAGCTTGGGCGTGATGTCCACCCCGTTCTTCAGCCAGCCGAGCTGCGGGTCCGGGACGCCCTCGGTGTGGCACCTGAGGCTGGCGGTCACTCCAAGCTCCTTGGCCTGGCTTTCTGGGTACACGTGGATGATGGGAAGAACTGAAGGGGACATTGGAGAGAAGATCAGTGACCCGCACGGACCAGTGGATTTGTCAAAACAAGCAAGTAAAGACTGCAGTAGGAGAAAGGATTAACCGCGTGCTTTATCAATGCTGTAACGTTCCGAGATCTTAGATTGCCAACATCATTACTCACTACAGTGTATTGGAGGTACATGAAGGTCAGTCATTCTGGAACTGCGCTAAAAAAAAAGGGCAATATAAGGCTCAATTGGATACTTTGTTTCAAAAATTAAACAGAAGTTCACAACGATGGAGATACTTAAAAACTCACAGGGGTTTCCTTTGGTAAATATGGAACAGCTTGAACATCAGAATAATTAACAATCATGAGGAAGTAAATAAAACCCTATTAGTCCAATCAAATAAATAAATAAATCCAGAGAGAAAGGAAAGCCTTTCCAAATCATAACATGATTAGAAATTAAGGCTTCTAAAAATTAAAATATTTGGAAGTAAATTTTTTCAAAAAGCTTCACACTAAACACAACATTTTGAAAGGATTGTTTAAAAAACTTAATCTTGTGTTCATGAATATAAATAATTAATGGGTGAGATGTAGTACTTCTAACTGACCTACCGATACGATGTCATCTGTACAAATGCTCCAAATCCTTTTCCTTGCTTGATGGAATAGCTCATCCTAAGACACATACTGAATCACAAGGAGCCCCAAATAGCCAAAATACTTGGGGAGAAGAAGAGAAAGGCTACAGGATACACACTTCCTGATTTGAAAATATATAGGAAACCTATAGCATAAAATAATGTGGTGCAAATATAAGGGAAATATATGGAACATAGAGATGAGAGACAGAAATATACATTTATGGTCAATTGATTTTTATTGCCAGCATATACATATTTCAAGAAAATCTTAGAAAATTTCAAATCACAAAAAGAAAATAAATTCACACATAAAAGTATAAAGTTTAATTCAAAACCAAATAATGACCTAACTGTTGGAGCTGAAGTTCTATAACTTTTTAAAAATAGGAGCAAATCATTCTGACATTTGATTTGGCAATAATTTTTTATTATTATCCCCAAAGTACAAGTAACAACAAAAAGATACATTTGTCCTCATCCAAATGAAAAATTTTAATGTCTCAAACAACACACAAGTAAAAGAAGTTGGTCTTGGCAGGACATGTGTGTGACCTCAGCACTGAGGAAGCTGAGGCAGGAGGATCAACACAAGGGGTAGGACAGCCTGGGCCACAGTGAGTTAATGTCAGCCTGAACTACACAGCGAGACTTTGTCTAAAAACAAAAATGAAACAAAGATGTCACTTCACAGAATAAAAAATATTTACAAATTATGTCCAATAGGAAACTAGTATTGAGAATATAGAATTGTTACAATTTAATAACAGAAAAAGTACTCAGTTATATTTTGGTTGAAGTACTTGAATAAACACTTCTTCTAAGAAACATAAATGGATAAGCACAACAAAAGTATCAAAATAGATGGTAATGCAAATAAAACCACAGCAAGATATCCTCTGAAGCCTACTCACATGGCTAAAAAAAAAAAAAAAAAAAAAAAAAAAGAAATACACTAGTAAGAGGATGTAAAGAAACTGAAATCTTCCATACTCAGGTGGGAATGTAAAACAGTGTAACCATTCAGCCACAAGGGAGAAGATTGTACTGGGTTCTAAAAATATTTACTTAAAAGAAAAATAAAACCTTGCATTTTGCAGGTTAATTGTTTGCTTTCCTTTAAATTTTGCATTCTCCTTATTACTGGTACTGTTGTACAGTAATTGGTTCTGTCAGTGTGCTGCAAAGTGAACAAACATTTCCAACAAGCTTTAAACTGGTTAGCGAGTCATGCCTTGTAGCACCAGCAGTGCAGGACCAGAGCACAAGCGCCAGTGAGCCAGTGGTCCCCCCACAGGTGCCCTCACCCCAACCCTAACCCTCACCCTCACTGGCACTCTCCCTGGGGGACCACAGCTGCAGGATGTCCAGTGATCCTTTCATGACTGAAGAAGGTCATGGAGGGGCTCTCTTCTGCGGAGGTGGAAGAGAAAAGTCCCTCTTGCCAGTTAAAGTAGGGAGATGCATATAATGTGTAGCAGTGCAAAACTGTGTAGAAAAGCACCACCCAAATAAGGTGGCTGCAGTGCAAGCAATGCATTAGATTAACAGCAATGCAGTGTCACAGTTCCGCAAACTCCTCAAAAGGAGGCAAAAGCAAGTGTCACCGGATAGGATCCTCCTTAAAGCTGCACAAAAGAAAAAGATTCCACTGAGCCAACAGACAGCAGGGATTCTACAGTCCAAGTGCAAGTCTTCTGCACAATACCCCTCCTTCACACCAGCCACAATGTTTTCAAGGTACAGGCTAATTTGCTTATATTTCATCGTATTTTTCACTGTCTTTATTATTTTGTATTGCATTACAGCATTGTAATCATGTTAATATGAATGTTTTTTGGGTTGTGCAAAGAGTCAGCTAACTTCCATCATCTTTACGGGGAAGTGTGCTTTGATGTACAAGCGCTTTGGAATCCAAGCGTATATCCGGAATGAACTACGTTGCAAACCAAGGTCCTACTGTGCATGTTAAGCAGTTATACAGTGTCTATGAATGTGCCTGACAGTAAAAAGCTGAAACAACACAAATGAACATCCACCGATGATGGAAAATAAAATGTGGTTTTGTTACACAACATAATGTTTCTAGCAATAAAAAAGAAAGAAGTGTTTTTATAAGTCAAACAGGAGCGTGGAATACGCAATGCTATGTGGAAGAGATGTGGTGCTGAGGGCCACATGCTGGAAGAAACCATGTCCATGTAATGGTGTAGGCTG